GCGCCGCCGGGTGCGTGCGGAGGTTGCTCTGGAGCTGCTGGAGCGGCGCGCGCTGGCCAGAAAGCCCCTCGCTTGGATCGGCTAGCGTCACCCCGTCTTCTGGAGCCCCTCACCCGTCTTGTTTTGTTTCCTCGATCCTGCCACAGACGAGCGGGCCAAAGGAGCTGGCCGGGCCCTTCGACTGACGTTGTCCACGGTAAGAACCCGCGGCCGGCGAGGTGAGACGGCGCGACCCCGTCGCTCCTCACTCCCGTCTGCGCCCAGGCGGGCCGAGGTGCGGGGCGCATGGGGCGGGTGCTCCAACCAGGGGAGCGAGAGGTGGGAGATCTCGCTCCCGGACACGGGGTTCCCCCGCTCCCCGCCGCTCTCGGAGCTTCTGGGGGTTCGGGAGTCGGGTTTTAGGCTGGCTGCCTGGGGTGCGCACTTCAAGGGGCGGGAACGAGGATCCCGTCTTGTGGCCTTGGTCCTTTTAAAAAGCGACAGCAATCAAAAGTCCTCCTTGCGGGGTGCTCATCCGACCTCGATCTTCCCCTGGGGTCGCGGTTGGATGCCGGAGGAGTTGCGCGCTGGGCTGCGGTGGCGGGAAGAGGAACTTTTACAAAAGTGCGCCCTGGCAGGAGTTGTGTGTGTGTGTGTGTGTGTGTGCGTGTGTGTGTGAAAATCACTTGGACGTCCAGGAAGGACTTTTACGTGTGGAGGCTCGGGGAGGAGGAGGTGGGGGCTGCACGGGACCCACTCAGCCCGGGACCCCACCCCTTTTCCCCCCTCCCCACAGTGGGGCTGACGAGGTTTGATGTTAAAAAGGAAAAGGAAAAAGAACCCGCCCCACCTCGCTGGTTTAGGGGCCCACTGTCCAGACACCTGGAATCCCACCCAGCCCCGCGGGCCCGCGGCTGGGAGAAGGTGCCGACTCCCAACTTCCCTTTGCTTCGGCTCTTCCCCACCGTCGGACTCTTCGGAGGTGTGGGTGGCAAAATGCTACAAAACAACCACCACAAAAAGTCATCCCCCCCACCCCGCCTCTGCCCCTGCCCTCGCCCCGGCCTCTGAGACCCGAAACCACGGGCGATCCCGCCCCTCCCGGACCCCCCTCCGCGTAAACGTTCTCCGCCCGCCCCGCGCGCGCGCACCTCCGACTGGTGCCAATGGCCTTTTGTTTCTGCGCGTTTCTCCCATTGTTTGCGTTTCCAACATCTGGTGGGGGCTTGGCGGGGGTGGGGAGAGGAATGGCGTCCCTTTTGCCCCCCCTCCTCCCCCCTCTCCCCCCCGGCCCGCCTTGCACGCCGGCCTCTGGGCCAGCTCGGGTCAGGGATCCCAGCTTGGAGAGGAGAGGAGCTGAACCCGGGAGGGTCCGCCTCGCCCGGCCCTGTGGTTGGAGAGCCGCGGGGAACTCGTTTCTTCCTCGCGGGCTGGCTGGCTCGTGGCCCTGGGCGCCTTCCTCAGATCGAATCCCGCACGCACCGGGGAAGGGCGGGGAGGCCGAAGGTGAGGCTGCTTTCGGGTGCGGGGAAGCGGCCTCAGAGATCCGAAGGTGTCCTCCACCTGGCTGGGAGCGGCTTCCGTGACCTCCCCGCTCTGTGAGGCTGGTTGGGGGCTTTGCACCATTGCCAAAGGTCCGGAAGGTAGACGATTCGCCATCAAATGAATGGGGATGCAGGTAAACCCCGGGAGGCGCCGGAGCGCCTGGGGGTAGTGGTGGAGTCGCTCACGGTAGAATCTGCCGGGGGATCTGACTTGACCCAAGGCTCCAAGTTTAAATTCCCCCACCCCCTTGCCTGGTAGGAACAGCAGACCTCGTGCACATACACAGAGGCGGCCCCAGAGGTGTTTTAAGCCTTCCAGATCCCTGAGAACAGGTAGCATGCCCCTCCCTCCCTCCCCCCCCAAGTCCTGACTTTCCCTGGAGATGGCCCCTGATTACAGGTGCCTCAGTTTCCCTGGGGGCAACTTAGATGCTTATGGGTGGTGTGATTTTTGTTTTAGTGAGGTGTGGATTATTTATTGAATAACTAGGGCAAAAGCTAAATAGAGAATGCAACCCCCCCCTCCTGCCCCGCCAAGGCATGGTTTCAGGAGAGTGTTCCTACCGTGAGGAAGGGAAGCTGAATCTGAACACCTGTTGGAACCTAGACCTCCTTGTACCCTGGTATTGTCCATGTTTCTTGTGGGACACAGAATAATCAAGGATACTCAATGACACTCTCTTTGTCCTCCAGTTTTTGATCCCTCACCCATTCTGGGGAAGGAGGATGCTTATGTGGTGACAATCTCTCCCGCCCCTCCCCCGCCCCCCCCCACACTAGGGATTGAACTCAGGGTGGAAGGTGTGTATGTGTTCTGTATCACTCACTCGCGCCACTCCCCCCCAAGCCCTTGGAACCTATCTGCATTGAAACTTTTCTCTCCATCTGGTACTAGGGGTGGAACCCAGCGCCTCCTCTACACTGAGTATGTGCTCTCCCACTGAGCCGTGTCCCAATCCTTATTCCAACATGTGAAGTGGAAACTTGGGCTCTGCACAGATCTGGTTTGCTCTTTACTAACGTAAGAGAACTTAGAAGATTGTCAAGTTAGGAATGTAGACACACAGACTACTTTCTCCAGAGACTTCTGGATACTCTCAGTGGGACCAAAAAAGCACAATCTTTAAAGGAGAAACTACTTTATTAATATTTCATTATAAAAATGATCTCCCAGGAAGAATTCTTGGAACTTTAGCAGCAGCAACAAAACAATGAAAGGGCTTGTGGAAGGAGCCTATTCTAGGTACCTCTTGCTAAAGAAGTACCAAAACTCATCATTAACGATGTGCTTGTCCCACAGTACCCCTTCCAGTTATTTCTGGGAGAAGATAAGCTTGTATTTCTTTAATTTTACAATTAAAACAGTCTATTTTAATTTAGAAGTTAAAAAATTATAGAAAATACATAGAGATGAGGTTTTGTGTTGTTTTTTTCTTTGTGCTAGTAGTTGGGCTTGAACTCAGGGTCTGGCTAGCCCTTAGCTTTTTGCTAAAGGCAGGTGCTAAAGCACATGAGCCACAGCCCTACTTCTGGTTTTTTTGGTGGTTAATTTAGAGAAGACTCTCATGGACTTTCCTAGCTGGCTGACTTCAAACTGTGATCCTCAGATCTCGGCTTCCGGAGTATCTAGGATTTTAAGAGGATCATACAAACATGGTTCCAGTAAACAATATTCTCAATTATTTCTTATATATTATATAATATATTTTATATTACTGAATATTTGATAAGATGGATGCACTTTTTTAGGGTATTGAAGATTGTCATATTGCCTGTGGTAAACATTTGTCAGTTTATCATTTGTCAAAAATGCACAAGACAGTCAGTTTGCTCTGTTCTCAGCCTTTGTTACCAGTTTTCCATCTCTGCCATGTGATGGAAAAATATTTTGTTTTTCTTTAGTCAGAAGCAAGAATAACCATTTTTCATATTGTCTAATAACATTTCCCCTTTGATGATATTGTTCATCCTTACTTAGTTTTCTCCTTTTTCTTTTGATTAGACATATTCTTTATTTAAAAAAATTGTCTTGACTTCTGGCCCTGTCCTCATAGTCTGACAATCTATATTGGCGGGCAAGTGTTCATCTTTCTTGGCCAATTCTTCTTTTCTTTCTCCTCCTCCTCCTCCTCTTCTTCTTCTTCTTCTTCTTCTTCTTCTTCCTCTTCTTCTTCTTCTTCTTTCCTTGTGGTGGTAGGTGGTAGGGATTGAACTCAGGGTCTTAACATACATAAGGCAAGCACTCTACCACTAAACTACATCACCAGCTCCTCTTCAGAAATTCTGTTCTTTTGAATATAACAGACATTTGGTGAAACTGTAACCCATAAATTGCTAAAGTAACTGCCATCATTCCAGGTTGGTTATCAGGGAGACCAGGCAAAGGCATTAGAAAATTTTATGGAAAATAATGAATATATACTTTCAGCTAATTAACTTGTATGCCTTTATGGCTTGTAGGCCTTACCATCTAGTTCTGAAACAATTTGAAACAACCATTTTTGTTTTTACTAAATGGGTTACACTAGGTCATTTTAGTATTTGATCATCTGCTGATAAACACATATGCTATGATCCACAACTTATTATTTTAAACATTTCTTCTAACCTTCTTGGCTGAAATTTGCCTACTTTTATACTAAAAATTTCTTTCTTTGGCCATATCCCTTTGAGTTATGAACTCAGGACAATCATGAATCTGAACAGTTTAGCAGTATATTGGTAAATCTTTACAGGAGAGTTTCCCAAAGGCTGAATCAGGTACTTTCTGCCCTCGTTTTAAAATTTATGTAGCCACAGTCTTGAAAACAGATGATTCTGAATTGGGATAGAATAGAAAGAGAAGATAATTAATTTAGCTAGGTGGTGATGCCATATAAAGGCTATACAGGAAGAGCATTTAGGTAAGCTGGATAGAGATAACTAAAAAATCCATGGCCTTAATATGTCATGGATTATTAGAATTCCTAATAGATTTAACTGAACAACAAAAAAGTAGTCTTTCAGTTGGGAAAGCCCAATGTAAAATTCTTCTATAATAAAGCTCTAGGAATTTTTTGTTGTTGTTGTTGTTGGTCCTGGGGCTTGAACTCTGAGTGCTGTCCCTCAGCTCTTCAGCTCAAGGCAAGCGCTCTACCACTTGAGCTACAGCGCCACTTCTGGTTTTCTAAGTGTTTATTGGAGATAAGACTTTCATGGACTTTCCTGCCCGGGGTTGGCTTTGAACCGCGATCCTCAGATCTTAGCCTCCTGAGTAGCTAGGATTACAGGTGTGAGCCACCGGCGCCCAGCAGGAATTTATTTTTTTAACTTCAGAGACAATGAAAGACATAATGATGATAATATCAGCTTTTTCCATACCTTACTTTTTTTGCTTGTTTTAGTAAGGGCTTCATACATGCTAGACAAGTGCTCTAATACTGGGCTATATTCCCAGTAATGTAGGAAGCAAATGATATTTATCAGGCATGATGAGAGCTCTGCACCAAATTTATAGGTTCCCAAGAGCTAATTGGTCATCTAATTGAAACATCCATTCAAATTTCACTGTAGATTTTCACCCTTAAAGCACATCCAAACTGCATCATTTCATAACAAACCAAACTGATAAGCAAATAAGCAACCATTTTTCTCTGGAAAGGACTGGGGAAAAGGAAGGGTTTGACTCTGTAGA